GCTCTCGCTCGTGCCAGAGCCGGCCTCGACACCGAGGGTTGGAGGAAAGGGCGATCTTGACCCCCGGACTCAGCGATGGCATATCGAAATCTCTCCGTCTTTCTACAGATTGAGAGGAGTGATGATAACCGACGAAGAGCTCAAGCTGGCCGACTTTGGCTCTTGCCGCGGCATCTACTCGAAGCAGCCCTACACTGAGTACATCTCGACGCGATGGTACCGCGCGCCCGAGTGCCTCCTCACAGACGGCTTCTACTCCTACAAGATGGACATGTGGGGGATCGGCTGCGTCTTTTTTGAGGTGCTCTTGCACGTACGCAATACAGACTGCACTCACCCGCGCGCCGGATGCGGAGTGGGGAGTAGCCCAGCCCTCGCCACACTCGTGGAGACTCGCATACCCGCACACCGTAGGTGCTCTCGCTCTCGCCGCTCTTTCCCGGCACAAACGAGCTCGACCAGGTCGCCAAGATCCACAAGATCCTGGGCACGCCGGGGCGAGCGACCTTCGAGAAGCTGAAGAAGCACTCCAATACCCACATCGATTTCAACTTCCCGCACAAGGCCCACCCACCGTCACGCCCGCTCGGATGCCCCCCTTCCATTCCACTCCCCAAACCTCGCGCTCGCGCCACCGCCCCGCCGAGCACCTCCCCCTAGGACGCCCTGCCTGGGCCTCCCGCGCAGGACCCCACGCCGCTGCAGTCGCTCGTGCCCCACGCCCCCGCCGTCGGTGTCGACCTGATCTCAAAGCTGCTTGCCTATGACCCCGACGAGCGGATCTCCGCGAGGCAAGCCGTCAAGCACCCGTACTTGCGCGAGCTGCACCTGCGCAGCGACGCGGTCGTGCAGCCAAACACCAAGCGGACCGAGGTGCCGCAGCACCAGCTGCCGACGGCACCGGGCGGCGGCGCGCCTGGCGAGGGTGGGGACGCGCAACTGCCGACGCAACCGGCAAAGCATCGGAGGTCAACCAAGGAGTCTCGCTCCGCCGTGGCCGCGCCCTCCGAGCGCGCACCGGCAGCGGCGGTGGGTCGGACCGACCCCGCGCTGAGTGCCAGCGGCGGCGAAACCTCCCTCCCTGGCATCATGCGCGTGGCAGCAGCCGGCGGTAGCACAGGGTGCACTGGGACGGGCGGGCGGAGTGAGCCGGGCAACGCCAGCCCCCGCAGCAGCGGGCTCCTCAGCAGCAGCGGGATAGGCAGCTACGGCGCGTCGAGCAGCTGCGGGGTGACCGGCGTCTATGGCGCCGCGGGAAGCTGCGGTGGGTCGGGACGCACAGGACTTCTCGACAAGGACGCCCGCCGATGGAGGTGGTGCGCACATTCCTCACAGTCGTGAGGTCTCGCAGTAGGGGCCGACCCGTGCCAGTCGAGCTCGTTGCCTCAGGCCTCGAGCAGGCGCCATTCCACTCCCGCGCATCCCCTCGCAGCCTCATCGTACTGCCTGACAGCTTTGACACCCCGTGCCTGACACCAGCAGCCCCCGTGCCCGACAGTTTTGACACCAGCAGCCTGCCGAGCATGCGCAACACGGTTGCGGTTGAGGCAGCGTACGAGGGGGGCAGCAACCTCCCCTTGATCGTGTCGGGCGCCGGCGGCGTGGCTGGCCGCGCCGGGCTCAAGATCGATGCCAAAACTTTGCACGGGCAAGGGGCTGGCTCACAGACCGGGCGGGCCTCGATGAAGGCGGGTCCGTACAGGAGGGCGGGGGCGGGCGCTCGGAAGGGAGCCAGCCACAGAGCAGCCGCGGGTCGGTTGGGCCACCAGGTGGCATGCGCTTGGCGGGCAGCAGCCGCCCGACCGTGCCTGAGGATAGTGCTTTGGACCGTAGGAGGCGCTGGAGCTCGCCGTCGGTGACCACTCCACAACCTACCCTGCGCCGCGCGCTCATCATGGCTTGGGCGGGGGCGCAGAGGGCGGACTGGCGCCCACGCCCGCGCCGCCGGTGTGTGTCCAAAGATGTAGCGCTACAAGTTTTGGGGGACGCATCCGACACACGGGCAGGTTTTCGCGCTTCTATGCTGGCCAACGGTGATGATTACTCGCAGGCTGCGATCAGTCAGTCGAGACGGACAAAGAACTCGTAGGACGTAGCCCGTCGGTGTGTGTGTGACGACGTCGATCGAGCGGGGCGTGCGACCGTGCATTCGCGCGGTCTCTCGCCCTGTCGTGTGCGGGCCGATCTCGTCGTCGACTCTCGACTCTCGTGTGTGTGTGTCTGGTGTGTGTCTGGTGTGTGTCTGGTGTGTGTCTGGTGTGACGGCTTTATGTGCGTGTGTGTCTCAGGTGTCGGGTGTGCCATGACGCATGAGCATGTAAAGTTATGGGCGGGGACCCGCGGCATACCCATTGTAGAGCCGAGAGGTGTCTCCTTTCCATTTATTTTAAACCAAAACACACACAACTGTTCGACACAACTGTGACACCACAGACACAAGCTCACACACGTGGTCTCAGCGGGACGATCTTTCCGCAGGCGCGGGAAAATATAACCCCCTTGTGTGGCCCGTCCGAGCCCTCCGTCACGCGCGGGAAGGCAGCACGCGCGAGGCCCGGCCGCCTCGTCCTCCCCCGCCGCGGCCTCCGAGCCCCCGGCCCGAGCCCCTGCGGCTGCCGCCCGCCCGGCCGCCCCTGCCGCCGCCGCCGGCCGCCTCGCGGCTCGAGTCGCCCACAAGCCGCGACGGAGGGGGCCCGGGACCGACTTTGTATGTCCGAAAGGTGCCCAAGTCTCGCTCGCGCGGTCTCCTCGCTGCGATCAGCGCCTCGCACTCGTCCCTGCCTGGCTTGCCACCTGGCCACCCCCCCTTTCGCCGGGCCGGGTACGGGCGCGCGCCGGGCCGCGACGCCATGTCCGGCGCGTACCGCATCTTGCGGCCGTACTCGGTGAGCAGGCGGTGCATGTAGCAGCGATGCGCCGCTTCACAGAGGTGCGTGTGCACGAGCGACGAGGCCGCCTCGGCGACCTTTCGGCTCCGCTCGTCCGCGGCGTCCGCCGCCGCGAGCACCTCGGACAGGTTGGTGCTCACCTTGAGCTGCCGGGGAAGAGGTGCCGGGAAAAAGTTCCGGGGAAGAAGTTCCGGGGAAGAAAGTG